CATTTTTTTTTTTTTTTTTTTTTTTTTTTAGGAAAAGAAAAATTTTATTGAATAAAAACAGAAATTACAAGAAGCAAATAAGTCACTATTTTAAGCTAAAAACAGTGACTTATGAACATATAACATCAAAAACAATACAAGGGTAAAATGGTAAATCAAAATATAATCCCTTTGTAGTGTCTTCTTTCCATCCAGCTGAAACAATCCTGAACAAATGCCTTAAGCCACAGATACAGTCCAGGAAGAGACAGGGAAGACCAACAGTCTGTCCAAAATAATAAGTATCAGCCCCTTAATAATCTGCAGCAGTGATCAGAATTCCAAGCAGCCAGATTGCAGTCCCTTCGACAGATCAGTCCAGAGCAACTCACATACATGCACTTCATTTAATAACCAGGGTTCTGAAATGGCCAGATGCAGAGTATACCATACATCACATATCACCTATATAAACTGTACTGAAACAGCCTCCTTCAACATTCCAAGATGAAACGTAAAAGGGAGCAAGATGACATCAGAAAACCTGATCATCCACACTCAAAAGCTCACAAAAGAAGTCCAGAAGATAGTCCAGGCAGATTGGAAAAGGAGCAGCCAACAGAAACTGAAGAACTGCTCTTGATTCTAATAAATCATCTCAGAAGCCTACTAGAATCAACACAGATCCAACCAGCAGAAGAACCAAAGTAGAAACCCTTTAGAATGTTTCCTAGAATTATTACAATTTCCAGATTCTAGGTCTTTCATACTGTATACACAAAATTAACCAATACCTTCTCTTTGATCACATATCAAACTCTTCAATCTGGCATAGGGAAAGCCATATAAATCTTGTTGCAATATCAGTCTTCCAATGGATGGCAGAATATTATTTGCAGAAAACTCAGTGTACTGTTCTGATTTAACTGCAAAGGAAGCTAAGAAGTCAGCCAGACTATTAGCTTCCCTATATATGTGTTTGATTTGCAAATTCAGAAAAGCCAAACAGCATCTTAATCCTTTCAAGTAGATATTGCATCTTCCATGGAACAGCAGCTAATCCTCTCACCATTTGAAATAAAGAATAAGAATCAGTCTCCACCATAATCTGAGATGTTGTCAGACTGTATTGCAAAATCAGAAGTAAACCATCCAATAATGCCCTGCATTCAGCAAACATATTAGAACCAATACCATAAAAAGCAGGAAGCTGCAGCAATTATTGGCCTTCATGATCTCTCAATACCATCCCACCACCTGACAATCCAGTCTTACCCTTAGAAGCACCATCAACATTAAGCTTTAGCACATTTGCAGGAGGAAGTTCCCATTTAATCCATTTAACCTTGGTGATTAAGGAAAAAGGACTTTTAATACTCAAGTCTCTCAACAACTCCTTTCCCTTACCATCATCATTTGATCTAGGTCTGATAAGAAAAGCCTGCCATCTTAAAGAACTCACTATTTGGTGAAAAATAGCATTGGCATTTAAAAATACTCCCTCATATTTCCTCCTACATCTCTCCTTCCACAAGGCCCAAAAAATTAGCATAGATACCCCTCTGATTAGATTATGACTGAGAGAAGCAGCTTTAAACCTTCTCAACAATCTCAAGAATCTGCATAAAGGAGCCTCTCCTGAAAATATATCAAATTCCATAATTGCAGCAATTTTCCTCCAGACAGCTTGAGCTAAAGAGCAATCAATAAATACATGAGCTGCACTTTCCCCATCCACACCACACATGACACATCTACTAGCCATTGCAACTCCCACATCTTGAACTCTATCATCAGAAGTCAAAGCTTTCCTGAAAATTTTCCAAGTGCAAAGTTGAGCACTAGGAAAAATTTTCTGTTTCCATATGCCTTTAGCAATAGCAGTTTGGTTCCCCACTTTCCTGAGCTGATTCCATGCAGATTTTACAGTAAATTCACCTGAAGTAGTATGCTTCCAAATAAGCTTATCAGATTCCTCAGATCTCACAAAAACCACCTTTTCAATTTCAGAACATAATTGAGGATTAAGCCATTCAGCAACCTCATTTAGCTGCCATGTTACCCCATTCCATAATTCTTTTATCTTGGGAAAGATCAATGGAAGATTCTCCATTCTAAGAATCAAGGGGCCAGTTTCCAACCATGAATCACACCAAAAATCAGTGTTATGACCATTTCTAACAATTTTGAAAGAATTCTGTACTGTGAAATTGAACCAAGGCTTCAAGACATTAAATGATAAACCTGCACCACTGCTGCTACATCTTAGCATATGCTTGCCTTGAAAAAACTTCTCTTGAAAGACTTTGGCCCACAAAGAAGAACCCTTTAGAATGCCCCATACTTGTTTACTTCTGAATGCCATCTGGACTTCATCAAAACTTCTAATTCCCAAGCCACCTTCTATTCTGGGCTTAGAAATATCATTAAGTGACACCCAATGTCTCCTCCTGGATCCAATTTGATTAGACCAAATAAAATCAGCAATAAGAGAGTTCAGCTTACTTAAAATACCTTTTGGAATATTCAAACAAGCCAAAATATGAATGGGAATTGAGCTAAGTACTGACTGCACCAATACCACTCTTCCCATTCCAGAGAGAAGTCTGGCATACCAACCCTCAAGTCTTCTTCTAAAGCTGTTCACCACCTCTTCAAAGTAACATTTCTTAACTCTACCTCTGATAAGAGGACATCCCAAATAGGTAAAAGGACAATTCTTCAAAGGAATCCCCATCACAGCAGCCAGCCTATTTCTTCTAGCTAGAGAGATCAGCTTGGAGCAGTAGACAGCACTTTTCATTTTGTTAACCTTCTGTCCAGAGCATGATTCATACAACTCAATAAATTGCAAAACATTCACTACAGAGGATTTATTACCTCTTAGAAAAATCAGAGTATCATCAGCAAATAGCAAATGGCTAACAATTGTTGTTCCTCTCCCAATATGGAAATGTTTCACCAAATTCTGGTGATAAATTCTTCTTAGCCCTCTACTCAGCACTTCCTCAGCCAGGATGAATAAGGAAGGGGAGAGAGGATCTCCCTGTCTTAACCCCCTTGAATTAGCAAAATAACCATATCTTTGGCCATTTAAACAAATGGTAAAGAATTGGCTACTCAAACAATTCAAAATAATTTGATTAAACAAATCAGAAAAGCCAAAGCCAGCCAGTACCCTCAACAAAAAATCCCATTCCATCCTGTCATATGCTTTCATCATATCCAATTTCATAACCATATTCCCACCATCCACCTTTCTGTCTAATTCTCCAACAAGCAACTGTCCCAAGGCCACACAATCTCCAATACCTCTGCCTTGTACAAAGCCATGTTGTTCTTCAGAAATTAAAGCAGGAAGAAGGGAAGAAAGTCTAGTATTCAGAAGCTTTGTAAAGATCTTATATAAGAAATTACATAAGCTTATAGGTCTGAAATCAGCAAATGAACATGGATTTTCCTTCTTAGGAATCAATACTAACAAAGTGGAATTCACAGATTTAGGCATTGCACCTCCTGCTAGCAAAAAGTTAACAGCTCTGCCCACATCTATTTTAATAATATCCCAGGCAAATCGAAAAAACATACCAGACATACCATCAGGCCCAGGGGCACTTTCAACTGCCATTGAGAAGACCACATCTTTCAATTCCTCCAAAGTGGCTTCAGCTGTGAGCCTCTCATTATCCTCTTGACTGATGAGCTTAGGAATAACATCAACAAAAATTTGTTCATTGATGATATGCCTTTCAGACTTGTAAAGATCAACATAAAATTCCTCAGCTACCTCAGCCACTTGCTTATTCCCACATACCCATACCCCTTCTTTATTCTTGATTCTTGAGACTTTATTTCTAACCATTCTACTTTTAGCAATAGAATGGTAAAATCTGGTATTCCTTTCCCCCTGTACAGCCCATTTTATATTTGACTTTTGCTTCCAATAAGTTTCTTCTCTTCTTAGCCAATCATCCATCTCATTCTTAGCAGCTTTTAACTCTATGTCTTGTGAATCAGAAAACCTCTGATCTACCTCCTGTTCCAACAAACTTATTTTTTGCTCCAGATTTCTCAATTTGTCAAAGAGATTTCCAAACACATTTTTATTCCACATCTTCATATGAGCCTTCAAATATTTCATCTTGATGAACAAATTTGACATTGGATTATCTGAATAGTGCCCTCCCCAATTTGCTTTAATCAGATCAAAAAATCCCTCATGATCACACCACATGTCTTGAAATCTAAAATAAGAGAGTCTTTTCTGTACAGGAGCATCCATGATTTTCATCAATAAAGGGCTATGATCAGAGGAGCCCCTTGCTAAATGAGCCACTTCCATACTATCAAATTTCAAATTCCAGCAAGCATTAATCAGAGCTCTGTCCAACCTCTGCTTCATTCTGATGCCCCCATTCCTGTTATCACACCAGGTAAATTTATTGCCCACAAAACCAGCATCCAGCAAACCCCTATGATTTACAAAATCACCAAAATCCTCTATAGACTGCTGAGAAGGAGGGGCTCCCCCCAATCTTTCATCAGAAGAGAGGATTGAATTGAAATCACCAACCACCATCCAAGGGACATCAGAGGGAACATCAATTCCCAACAAATGATCCCATAATAGCCTTCTTACAAAAGGATCACAACTAGCATATACAATTGAGATCCAAAAAATAGTTGAATTCAGAAAAGTTATTTCCACAGTCAATACTTGATCATGCTCAAACAAGATTCTCAACTTGATTCTCTCATCCCATAAAATCCAAATTTTCCTTTCTGCAAGGGCATTAGAACAGAAGTGCTCTAAACCAATACTCCTAGCAAAAGGAACCAATTTAGAGATCAGTAATTTAGGCTCTTGAACTGCAACCAAACAAACATCATGCAATTTAATAAGCTTCTTTAATCTCCTCCTCTTGGCCTCCTTACCTGCCCCTCTCATATTCCATGATAGGAGATTAATCATAAATTCATAGAAGATGGAACTTTACTGGAACTAAGTCCATTACCCTCATCCTCTTCTTCAACAGAACTCCCAGAAATATCAGATTCAACATTTACAATTCTCTGAGGTCTAGAGCTAGCCTGATCTGAAAAATAACCCTTATCTGGAGGTTCTTTCATTCTAACCAAACCAGACTGATCATCTACAGAGTTTTGGCTTCCTTTTCTAACAACAAATCCATGTTCCAAAAGGAAGGATGAATCCATTGATGGAGCATAAAAATTCCTACATTCTCCCAAAATCTCTATATTTTCATGAACCACCATATTGTCATTATTAACAACCTCAAATACAGGAACTCCAACATTGATCTCCTCATTAATAGGATTTAATGGAATAGGGGAGGAAAAAGAATTTACCTCCAATGTAGCCCCCATAGTGACTGTATTTATGGGAATTTGATTTCTAGAATCAGAAGCAATAGTTACTCCTGGATTATTCTCTTGTTGTATTCCCTCCAATCTGATATCAGCATTATTAGTATTGCCAACTCCTTGAGTACCACATTCAAAACTTGCCTGAGGGTTCTCCAGAATGACAGTATCCTTTCTAACATCCTCCCCCTGTATTTCAACATCTCCAATACCAATCTCCTGAATAGAAGGAGATCCTTCATTATTAGTGACCTTGTCTGGTATTATTTCCTGTTCATTTACATTCATTTCCTTCCCAATATCTTGCTCTTCTATAACAGTATTCTCATTTAAAACAGAAAAACTATTCCCCACAGCAGTAGTTTGAGGATTAGATTTCTGTCTATATTCCTTTCTAGACTGTCCTCTCAGACCATCTGTAGCCATAGCTTTACCTTTTTTCTTCTTCCACTCCTCATCCTGAGGAATATTATTCCCTGCCTCCTGCTTCTTATCAGAAATATCATCTTCCACTTTCTTCTTCCTTCTACACTGCACTTCATCATGCCCCTGCTTAAGACAAGCAGGACAATACCTGTACTCTTTTTCATACACTATCTTTTGCCATCTGCCACTAACACCTCCCATATCTAACCAGAATCTCTTAGGATTGTTGATTAGAAGATTCATCTCAACACAGGCCCTGGCTACCCCAGGTCTAGAAAGGCTAAGGGTAGCATTATCTATCACCAGAATCCTGCCTATTGGACTTAAAATATCTCTCAGACTTTCTCTGTTGAATAAATGGATTGGAAGCCCAGGTAAGGATACCCATACAGGTACAATAGGTGGCTCAATCCCAGAATAAAACTCTGGAAACCATTTAAAAAACCTGAAAAGATAACCCTCAATGTATGTTGTATCCTTCAGCCACACTTTAACATAGTCCTCATAGAGAGAAAATCTGATCAGTACATGCCTCTGATCTAACACACCTACAGAAAAATCCCCTTTCAGAAGCCATCGAGACTTGATAAATTCTTTCACCACACCCAGAGAAGGTTTACCATAGGCACATTTGCCAATAAGAGTTTGACAAAAACCTTTAGAAAGTTCTAAGGTTTCATTGGGGGACCAATACATCCCAGGCTCCCCTTTGTTAAAGACTACCCTCTTTGCAGTTTTAGGAGGATTCACCAGATTTAAGGAACCAAAAACAATATTAGACGCAGGATTTTGACTACCTGAAGGATTTTGAGAATTCGAAATGACTATTGGAATCTGAGTATCTTTATCAGAAGCAGGGATTTTCGATTTGTTCAGATTTCGATCCATCGAGGATTCAAGAATTTCCAAAGGAATGGATTGGGGGATTAGAGAAGGTGGAGGATTCATAAGCACTCTCTGTGTGTTTCGATCAATAACAGATTCAATAGGAACATGATGTCCTAACCCAGATGAAGAACTCTGATCATTTACAGCAGTCGATACATTCGCAGGAAGAACAGAGGCCAGACGAACAGTCGGCTTGGTTTGATTCACTTGAGATATAAGAGGCATAGAGATGGTGTTATTCCCTCCCAAAGGATCTACAATTGTTAAGGAATTAAATTCTGAAGTGATAGGGATTGTTGGAACATTTTCAATCGGAGCAGATTTCTTAAACAAGGAGGCAAAGTTTTTGGTAATGTCTGGAGGTTTTGGTGGAATTTGATTGTGTTCTTGGGCTAAAACCATGCTAAATCAATCAATACAACAGTAGGAATCAAAGATTTCACAACAAATAGTGAAGAATCAGATGGAAAACAAGAAGATCTGGAAAAAGAAATAAAGTTTCTAGAGAGAAGTCAGACCTTCTCTCTCTAGAATGAAATAACTGCCTCCCCTCCTCTAAACCCTAAACCCTAAACCCTAAACCCTAAACCCTAAACCCTAAACCCTAAACCCTAAACCCTAAACCCTAAACCCTTTTTTTTTTTTTTTTTTTTTTAATAAAAGGAGAAATTTTATTCCAGAAAAATGCAGAAATTACAAGAAGCAAAGCAGTACTGTTTAAAGAAAAAACAGTAACTGTAAACCAAATTACAAAGGAAAACTATATAAGGACAAAAAAGTAATTTTTGCAACATGGTCCCTATATACAGTCTTCTTTTTCTGGTAAACATCCTCTTCCAGATCAGCATTAGGAACTGCAAAAATTCCAAGTTCTTGAACAGGAAAAATGCAATTCCCATCCAGAACTCCAACAGTCTGCCAAACTTCATCCTCCAGCAGCTGAAACTCTTCACAATTTCCAACTGATGGCAACCAATCTGCCTAGATCAGTCCAGATACATGCACAGAAGAAGCAGAATGAGAGAGGACCCCAACTGATATTGGGATTTGCAAATTCTGATGGATAATCTGTTTGGCAACTTTCTTCTACAGCCCTACTCAAACTCAGACAAACATTTTAATCAACCAATTCCCTTCCTTTGCTTACAAAGTATTCTTTTCAATCTGGCATTAGGTAAACCAGTCTGGTCTTGCTGCAGAATTAACCTTCCAGCCACTGGCAATACATTACTGCCAGAGAATTCAGTATATGTTTTTGAATGAACAGCAAAAGAAGCTAAAAAATCAGCCAATCCATTAGCTTCTCTGTAAATGTGTGAAATCTGCAAATTCATCATACCAAATAACAGTTTAATCCTCTTTAACAGATCTTGCAACTTCCATGGAATAATAGCCAAACCTTTCACCATTTGAACTAGAATTTGAGAATCAGACTCCACCAAAATCAGAGAATCTGATAAACCATGCTGCAGGATCAACAGTAAACCATCAAACAATGCCATACATTCAGCTAACATGTTTGAACCAACCCCATAAAAACAAGCAGCAGCTGTAATAACTCTCCCTGCATGGTTCCTTACCACTACTCCTCCTCCTGATAATCCAGTCTTTCCTTTAGAGGCACCATCAACATTAAGCTTTAATACATTTATAGGAGGAAATGCCCAACTAATCCATTTAACCTTAGTAATTAAAGAATAAGGATTTTTAATGTTCAACTCTCTCAAAAGTTCCTGCCCCTTACCATCATCATTAGCTCTAGGCCTTATGACAAAAGCCTGCCATTTCAAAGTACTAACAACTTGTAGAAAAATTGCATGTGCATTCAAAAAAGAACCCTCATACTTCCTTCTGCATCTTTCCTTCCACAGAGCCCAAAAGATTAACATAGAAATCCCCTTAGTCAAACTGTGACTGAGAGAAGGAACTTTAAATCTTCTGAGCAATCTCAAAAATCTGCATAAAGGAGATTCACCTGACAAAATATCAAACCCCATAATTACAGCAATTTCCTCCAAACATATTGAGCTAAAGAACATTCAATGAACAGATGAGCTATAGATTCCCCAGCTGTACCACACATTACACATTTACTAGCCATGGCCACTCCTACATTCTGAATTCTGTCATCAGAAGTCAAGGCTTGTTTAAAAATTTTCCAGGTGCATAACTGAGCACTAGGAAAAATTTCCTGCTTCCAAATACCTTGAACTATATCATTATGAGACCCCTTTTTCCTAATTTCATTCCAAGCAGATTTAACAGTAAAACAGCCTGATTTGGTATGCCTCCATATAAGTTTATCATGTGTGTCAGACCTCACCATAACTGCACTTTCAATCTCAGAGCATATCTGAGGAGTAAGCCATTCAGCTACCTTTTCCAGTTGCCATTCAACACCATTCCATAATTCATTAATCCTAGGGAAAAACAATGGAGGAGACTCCAATCTAAAAAATAAGGGACCAGATCTCAACCAAGAGTCACACCAAAAATCAGTATGCTGTCCATTTCCAACAATTTTCAAGGAATTCTGTACTGTAAACTTGAACCATGGTTGTAAAATTTTGAAAGAGAGACCAGCTATATTAGTTCCACATCTAATCATATGCTTCCCCTGAAAAAACTTTTCTTTAAAAACTTTGGCCCACAAAGAAGAACCATTTAAAATACCCCAAACCTGCTTGATTCTAAATGCTGTTTGAATTTCCTCAAGACTCCTAATACCCAAACCACCTTCTGTTTTAGGTTTAGAGATATCATTCAATGAAACCCAGTGTCTTATCTTAGATCCAATCTGATTTGACCAGATGAAGTTAGAGATAAGAGAATTCAGCTTACTCAGTACACCTTTTGGAATATTCAGACAAGCCAATATGTGAATAGGGATTGAACTAAGTACTGATTGTATCAGTACAATTCTTCCCATACCAGATAACAATTTGGCATACCAACCCTCAATTCTCTTCCTGAATCTGTTCACCACCTCTTCAAAATAGCATTTCTTGATTCTTCCTCTGATAATGGGACATCCCAGATAAGTAAAAGGACATTCTTTAAAAGGAATTCCCACCTGAGTAGCCAAACTATTCCTTCTAGACAAGGAAATGAGCTTAGAACAAAAAACAGCACTCTTTAACTTGTTAACCTTTTGACCAGAGCTTGATTCATATATAGCAATAAACTTCATAACATTCAATACAGATTTTCTGTTACCTCTTAGAAAAATCAGAGTATCATCAGCAAACAATAGGTGACTCACAATAGTTGTTCCTCTCCCAATATGAAAATGATTAACCAAATTTTGACTATAAATGCTCCTCAGCCCTCTACTCAGTACTTCTTCAGCCAAGATGAATAAAGAAGGAGAAATAGGATCCCCCTGCCTTAGTCCTCTTGAATTAGCAAAATAACCATACCTTTGCCCATTTAAACATATAGTGAAGAATTGGCTATTCAAACAGTTCAAAATGATATGGTTGAACAAATCAGAAAATCCAAAACTAGCCAGAGCTTTCAGCAAGAAATCCCATTCCATCCTGTCATATGCCTTCATCATATCTAGTTTCATAACCATATTGCCACCTTCAACCTTCCTGTTCAATTCACCAACAAGTAGTTGCCCCAAAGCCACACAATCACTAATCCCTCTGCCTTGAACAAAACCATGTTGCTCCTCAGATATCAGAGCAGGAAGTAGAGGAGATAATCTAGTATTTAGAAGCTTTGTAAAAATCTTATACATGAAGTTACATAGGCTTATAGGTCTGAAATCCGAAAATGTACTAGGATCCTCCTTCTTAGGAATCAAGACCAATAAAGTAGAATTCACAGATCTGGGGATCACACCTCCTTTAAGCAAAAAATTAATAGCTTTGACCACATCATCTTTAATGATATCCCAGGCAAATTGGAAAAACTTACCAGACATACCATCCGGTCCAGGAGCACTCTCTATAGCCATTGAGAAAACAACATCTTTCACTTCCTCCATAGTAGCTTCAGCTGTAAGTCTCTCATTATCCTCATTACTGATAAGCTTTGGAATAACATCAAATATGTGTTCTTTGATGATATGCTCCTCAGACTTATAAAGATCAGTATAGAATTCCTCAGCAACATCAGCCACCTGCTTATCCCCATATACCCACACTCCTTCTTTATTCTTAATTCTTGAAATTTTGTTTCTGATAACTCTACTTTTAGCAATAGAGTGATAAAATCTAGTATTTCTCTCTCCTTGAATAGCCCATTTCACATTTGATTTTTGTTTCCAATAGATTTCCTCTCTTCTCAGCCAATCATCCATCTCACCTTTAATTACTTCTAACTCTAAAGCTTTAGAATCAGAAAAGTTCTGATCTAATTCCATTTCAATTCCACTAGTCTTCTGTTCAAACTCTTTCAACTTCTCAAAAAGGTTACCAAAAACCTCTATATTCCACCTCCTCATATGAGCCTTCAGATATTTCATTTTGATGAACACATTTGACACTGGGTTATTTGAATACTGTCCAGTCCACTTAGATTTAATTAAAGCCAGAAAATCTTCATGATCACACCACATATCTTGAAATCTAAAGTAGGAAATTCTTTTCTGTATAGGACTATCCATAATTTTCAATAATAAAGGACTATGATCAGAGGAACCTCTTGCCAGATGAACCACTTCCATGCTGTCCAATTCCAGATTCCAATAAGGATTAATCAGAGCTCTATCCAGCCTCTGCTTCATTCTTGTAACCCCAGCTCTATTATCACACCAAGTAAATTTATTTCCAACAAAACCAGCATCCAACAAACCCCTGTGATCCAAAAAGTCACCAAACTCCTCCATAGATAGCAAAGAAGGAAAAGCTCCTCC